TCACAGCAGGAGGTCCCTCCCCAAAAACCTGCAGATTAACCAGAATAATCAGCATGAGGGCTCTTCAGCTCCCCGAGCCCCAGATTCTCCTCGTGACCCCAGATGTATTTAAAAACTAGAGGCCATTTGAGCCCCCCAAATCTCTCCTCCCACACACAGACTGTTGTTTCTGAATTATTACTGAACAGGCTACAGAACAGTTACTGTACTACTGCTTAAAAGGACAACAACAATGACTTTTTCATACAATTTCAAAGAAAGTCAGTGTGCTTACTAAGACAAAATGTGCTTCTTGTTAAGGAATAGTCTTTGATGTTTTCACCGTACAATTTTTGCTGCTCCCCATACCTAATTAATTTGGCACATTGATGATTCAGCGTACACTCAGCTTCTATGTGTTCTGTTTTAATGGATTTCTGTATGGTATGTCTGTACTTTATCTTGTTCTTTCTCTCGACGTGGAGCTGAAACGACTTGACAGATAACTGATTATTTTTCAGTGATTCGAATAAGCAGAACACCAACAAAAATGGTCCTTATTTTGATAATCAATTAACCATTTAATACTTTTTTGAAGCAAAATAAAATGCCAAACATTCTCCAGTTCCTGCTTTTCAGTTTGGATTTGCTGCAATTCTGTATCGTATAATTGTAATTGTATAATGACAATCATCAGAATACATTGCCTTGAGCTTTCGGCAATTTGCCACAAATCTAACTTGCACCAAATAATCTGTTGCCTTATCAAAAATAAATGCTATCTTTGCTTTATAAGTCTTTGAAGTTCTGCTTGTCATTAAATGCAACAAAAACAGACATATCAAATACACAACAATATAACACTGTTTTTAACCCTATCCTTATCCAAACACATGGAGTGAACCAAGTGATTTAATTTCCAGAAAACAATGTTAATGGGATATTGAATGATGTTATTTTGTATATGTAGCCCTAAAATGTCAGCTTTACTTACATGCTTTTTGCACGTGCTCATAGTCTCATGTGTGCATGACACTTCACCGTCTGTAACGTGACCTCTTTAACATCCTCACATCGGCCTCACAGCCAAAGTGCCTCAGCAGACAGCCACTCAGACTATCTGCTGCTGCACATACCGTCACATCATTTCATCACTCAGGCAAAGTAGGTTAAAGGCAGGCAGCGGCTGGTGAACGCCAACATCTGCATGCTCTGTTATACATCACACTTCCGCTCTGACGGACTCGTATCGGGCTCACAGAGCGGCGGGGAGAGCGAGCGTGTGGGATTAGCGCCAGCTGGCCTTGGTGTGTGCTCATGTGCACATGTCTGTGTCATGTATGTGTGACCCAGGCTTTAAAGCAGAGCATGTCTTCAGCATTAGTTAGAGGGATTGGGGGCGGCGGGTTTTAGATTACAGTTTGGATCCAAGAGGAAGTTTCACTCGCCTTCCTGCTTCCTTCCATGCGTCCCATTGTGCTGCAGGGCCAGCAGGTTAACAGGGTTATCTTTATTTTTATTTTTTTAAAGTTCATCCACTTTAAAGTCCGATGGAGTCACTAATTTAAAGCCAGTGTATCTGGATAAGTCCTCTCTCACACTCACACAAGTCAGTGAAAACTGGGGCTGCAGCCAGGGTTAAGTGAGTGTGGGATTTCCACTCTGATCTCCATGTGTTGAAGTGCCATGCATCTGATATAAATACAGCCCTTGAAACATATCTCAATGCATTGAAATTAGTTTTTAACAAATGGCTTCAACATGAATTGATATGTAACCAAAAATAAACAGAGAAAGTAATAAAAGTGACAGTTTGGTGCAGACGGGTGTGGGTTTGTGCACACGGCATTAGTCTAAATGCCACCAAAGCCTCTGGTTTCAGTGGGGGCCCGGGGACAGTTGTTAGTTTTGGGTGTGAAGAGCAGCAGGGGATTTATTCCTGAAAGTAGATTTTGAGGGATTTAGTTTTTTATGAGGGGGGAAATTAACAGAGCCGCTTGTTCTGTGGTGCACATGTTGGAGTTTAAACCCTTTGGACCCTCTCAACCCACCACTTGATAACGTGGATTTCTGAGCTTCATATTTATTGTAGAAGTCACAGAGGTTCAAATGGGCTTGACGTCTATATTTTTGCACGCACATATTCAAATAAGCTCCTCATCAGCTACAGATGATCTGACCCTGACTAGGTTTACTACGAAGCAATGACTCATACCATAAATGATTTTATTGGATTACAACTCAAGCGTGGCTGTGTTTGGTTTGAGGTAACAACCAGCCCCACGACGCCCTTGTTGCTTTCTAAAGACACTAAACTCATTTCCTAAATGAGTCGGAGAAGGTCAAAGGGGGAGGTGTGTTAATCATGGAATTGATGGACCACCTCTGTAGAAACCCCCCCACCACTAAACAAGATTATCTTCTGGAGCAGAGACCTTAGCACTGGGTTCACTGTTATCAAATGTGTGGTTTGAAAGACATATATTACAGTAATACAGTCAGAGAGACCCAGATTGGAGGATAATGGCAATGCTTCTCCATTAATGGGGGTGTGCTTTCATTAAAGGGAGCATCCTCTGCTTTTCATTTGATTTGTAATGAATCAAGATTGCAATCCTGCACATTGTTGCAGCCCCTGGAGATCTCCATTAGCTAATGCACGGCCTCAGGCTAATGGAAAACACGGAGCTTTCGGCCGTTCACTCATCATCTTCCTCTGAGCAACATGTTCGATAAGACAAAGGAGAATCCCGATGTTTAGGGCTGTTAATATTGATTTATTCTCTTTCCATTGTTGATCAATCTGCTGATTATTATTGACTGGTTTGGTCTAGTGAACATATAAAAAGCCTTTCACAAATTAACATATTCATATTGCATGTTTTGCCAGGATATGAAGTATTTTTACATTAAGAGACAGGATTCAATGTACTTTCAATAGTCATGCACCAAGCAAGCCTACAAATAGTGGTGTTTTGAGCTTAATGCTATGCTAATTAATTATAATTACAAAGCTCACATAGTGATGTTAGCACTGTCTTAGTTTAGTCCGTTAGCGTTCTAACATTTGCTAATTTGCACTCAACGTTAATTTTATGTGTAAGATGCGTATTTCTCAGTTTTAGTATTTGAACAATGAACAGTGGATTGGCATTAACAACCTTTTAGAAGTTTAATATGTTGACCTTTTAATTACAGTGTCTTCATAGTCTTTATCTTTAAACCAGCAAACCAAAGTGATAAAATACATTAATTCTCCCAAGGCTTCGTCAAAATGTCAAACAATTTGACATTTAAATCTTAATGGCCTCATTAACCCGGTGCGTTTAAAGAAATCATCTGACATTTTGGGAAATACCCTTATTCTCTTTCTTGCCAAGAGATTGATAGCAATTTCGTTGCTTAATGTAAAGCTACTGTCAGCGGACGGTTAGCTTAGCATAAAGACTGGAAGCAGAGAGAAATGACTACCCTAGCTGCCTGAACTCAAATGTTTTACTTGAGGAATACTGCATCTGTCAAACTAAATGTTGTAATAATATATAACATGCTGAAAGTTAAGCTTTAGAGGTGCTGCTAGTATTTTTTAACCGTCCTTCAGTCAGATCCAGGCTAGCTATTTCCGCATTTTCAATCTCTATGCTAAGCTAACCTAAGCTAACAGTCAGCTGGCTCTAGCCTTATACGAACTGGCCAAATATAAGAGTATTGTCTATCTTCTTCTATAATTCTTAGCAAGAAAAGTAATAAGAGTATTTCCCACAATGTTGAACTGTTGCTCTGGGTGTTAAGAGCAACAATGCATCTTTCCTCAAGCTTAAAAATCAAACGACCCTGTAGCGCAGACGCTGTATTCCTCGAGCAGAAGAATCAAGAAACTTATTTTAGAGTATTAATTAGCTTTAAAGCCACATTCACAGCTCTCACAGTTGCATAATGTAAGTAGCTGGAGGTCAGCAATGCTAATAATTATCGTATTTATGATCATACTCTCAACATTTAAATCCCCCCCACTGGTGTATTAAAATCACATGAAGGAAATCCCTTCTCCTGATGTTACCTGACCCTCATCACGGTGCTTCAGGATTACTTAGCAAGGTTAGGAAGTGGCTTTTGTCTCAGTTTCAATGTGAATATATATACTCCACTCCCTTGTATTCAACTATTGTACAAGATGTTGAATTAAAACTGGGCTGAATGCTTCCTCTTGAGCCCGGTGACCTTGTTTTACTGTAATTGCCGCTGCTCTCCGCCTGCGAGGGAGAATAACAAGTGTTGTTTTTTTAATCTCTATTTCTCTCCTTCGGCAACATGTAGGCACAAAGCTCAGACTGTGATATTAGATGTGCCATTTTCCCGTTGAGAGATTTGAGTTTTCTGCCTCTAAGCTGGCTTAATGAAGCAAGATCGTACAGGAGAAATAATGTGTGCGTGGGGGGAGAATGAGAATAGGAGAGAGGAGTGGGATAAAAAGATTGAAAAACCAGATTGAGACAGAAAGATGTGAGTGAAGAAGAGGAGGGAAGAACATCGAACATCCTCCCCTCTTTTTTTTTTTTATGCCTGCAGCTCGGAAAACCCTCAATCCCGGGGAATCGGGGTCGTAGGCCGTGTTAAATTAGCAAATTCACTTTTAATGAAAGAGCGCTTAATCTGGATTGGTTTTATTAATAGAATATTCCCCCGGGGGCCAAGTGGAGACGGAGGGGCAAAACACTTTCAAGTGGAATAATTAAGACCCTTCGCCTTCTCACTTCCTCTTGTTAATTAAGACGATCATGCAGGCTCTGGATATGATGCTGCAGCTGAACGAGCAGAAACAGGCAGCAGCAGCAGCAGTCACTCTACCGCACGAGGAGGATGAGTCTTCTTACGATTTTCCATTCCTGCTTGTGAATTCTTCTTCTATTAGATTGGAATTTCCTCCACTTTTCTCTCATCTGCAGGGCGCTGTGAGTGATGCAAGCTGTGTACAAAATGAAAGTTAAAGTGTGCTGTGTTTTCTCCATCGTGTGTTTCAGTTCCTGAGGATCTGTCCCCGGAGGAGAGGGATGAGCTGTCAAACATCCGGCGCAGGAAGAGAGAGCTGCTTGATGATATTGAGGTGTGTGTTTGTGCACGTATGAGCACTATATATACAGGTTGCATTTCAGCTTCAGTTCATTAGTAGTGCACTGGAACTTTGGTTATTGTTAGTTAGTTATTTATTCACTTTGATGGCTCTCTACTGCTGCACTGAAGAAGTATTTGCATGCTCTATCTATGTAATGCAAATGTACATCATTGCACTCTCAATTTGATTACAGAAAGTAATGCACTTCCCTCTACTAACTGTACAGTGCATTTTCTGTCCTTTTCATGCCTTAATGCTTTTGTCTTTGTATTTTATCCGGTTTTTATTTAAATACTGTCTCGCTCTTTTCTCTCAGAGGTTGAAGTTTGAGATAGCAGAAGTCATGACGGAGATCGAGCAGCTGACGTGTGTCGGAGAAAGGTGAGTAACTCAATGTGCATATGGGGGTCAAATCTCTAAAATATCGCTATAAAAGAGCAGGTATTTTCAAGCACATAGTGGCTATATGTATACTGAAGTTATTGAGAAAGAAAACTGAACATCATAAGTGTAGTAGAAGAAAAATGCAGGCAGCAAAGATGTTGCCTCAAGTACCTGTTTTTATGTATAGATTTGTATTTAACATTTTACATTTATACTCTTGTGTTCCAGCAAAACAACCCAGAGAAACAAACAGATTGCCATGGGCAGGAAGAAATTCAACATGGATCCAAAGAAGGTAATGCCTCATGTTTTCATCATCCTCCGAAGTCTCTGTAGCCTTGAAAAGGAATGACTTTCTTATAGTCTGAAGAGAGATCCATTTTCTATCGTCCGTCCTCAGTCGAGATGAACAGCCGTCCCGTTTTTTCTCTCTCCAGGGAATCCAGTTCCTGCTGGAGAACGACCTCCTCCAGCACACCCCCGAAGAAGTGTCCCAGTTCCTCTACAAAGGAGAAGGCCTCAACAAGACGGTCATCGGAGACTACCTGGGCGAGCGGTGAGACAGAACATTAATCAGGCGGCAGGAGAACGTCCTCCTCACATGAGGTTTATTCACCCTTTGTGGTTAGAGAAGGAAACGATGGGCTAATTGATGAAAAGAGAAGATAATTGGCTGTTGTGAACACACACGCTTTTTAACATACATCTGATTAATTCTGGTGATGTATTTAACAGCAGGACCTGTTTTGTAAGGATCCCTCAAAGTTAGTTTTTACTGCAGATCCTACAGAATAAGATCTGGGTAGTTAGAGTATTGATATCTGCTCTGCCTGAATAAAATATTCGGCAGAAAAAAGCGTCACAGGCTTGTCGAACTCTTTGATTGACAGATGATCTTTGAGAAGTGTAGAGAGAAAATGGCAGCGAGCAATTAACACCCAAAATGTCATAGAACAAAAACATTATCATTTAAACATTTCCAAGGCAGGCCATTTAATTGTTTTATATTTGTGAGTAAAATATAATATATTTGACTTAGTTGTACCAAATGTTACAGTCTTTTTATAAAGGTCTTGAGTGAGAGAGAGATGGATTAACAATATACATAATTATTTTTGTAATTAATTATGAATTATAATAAACATTGAGAAAAACTCTTTTTAGGACAAAAATTATAATTGAAGTCAGTAGTAGGTTTTCCCATACAAGCTATTTTCTATGGTCAATAATGGTGCAATATACCTAAATACAGTTATAGAAATTAAGATTGAAAGTTAAATCAAATGTAAAAAATATATATAAACTATTGTAAATCCCCCAAAAATAAAAACCAACATTGAAAACATACAAAAAAGCAATACAAATATTAAATAAATATGTGCAGTTTATCCGAATTTAACAGTGAAAGAGCTGTGAAGTATTTAAATCATCTTATAAAGAGGATCCTGTTTAAAGCAGCACAGTCTGAAGTCTTCATACGCAGGAAATCACATCAACTACAGTCTTAATTATCTTACATTAGCACAGAAACAAAGCACAATGTGAGTCAGTCGTCGGGGGGCTCTGGGGACTCTTCATGTTGGCGGTGGGTTTTACTCACGGGGGATCATCAAAGAGCCCACCTACCCTGTGGAAATCACACTAAACACAGGCGGAGGGTTTACACGCAGTAATTATCACTAATTGAGCTTATGCAGGGAGCAGAACCTATCATTACATGCTGAGCAGAGAGGGGGAGGAAGAGGGGGGAGATACAGAGAGGAAGAGGAGGAAAAGAGAGGAAAGATAAGGGAGATGCAGGATAAGCAGGTGATTGGCTCCCAAATGACGCCACTAGATCTTATTGTTCCTTAAACTGATATAGAGAGAGATACGAATAAATGCAATTTCATTTTTGCAAATGACAAACCACATTCAGGTCTCTTTTTTAATAAATATACCTATAGAAATAAACCTATATGCAACCCTCATCGGACAGGATTCATTTTCTCTGGCTGCAGATGACAGTGTAGGGTAGAAGAAATCCCCCGAGTCATCGTCCAAGTAATCCAAGACTGTTATTGCGAAACATGTTTTTGTTTTGTTTCTCGTAAACCAATGCTGTTTTTGATGTCGCTCCATAAAAAGTCTAAAAATGTCCCGGCTTCATTTGTACAATAAACAACAGAAAGAGGATGCAGGCTCAGGATTATGGCCCCTCATGTACAACAAACACGATCACAGAAGCTGTGACCGCAGCCCGAGAGCAGCTGTGGACTGAAAAAACCCCTCAGAAAGCCAAACAAACCTCTGACAAAAAGAAGCCTGTGTGGGTTTTGGGTTTTAGCTGTTTTTCATCAGTCAAACGCACCGTTTCCTCGCCTCGGGGGGGGGGGGAGAAATACTCAGCATCAGCCAGCTGTTTAAATTGCTTCCAGACTCCACGCTCAGCGCCCGGTATGAATAAAAGCACAAACATGACAGAAATGCTGGGAAACGGGAATCCAGGTTGAGAAATGCTTTCATGGAGGAAATCTGGTTTTCCTCGCCCTTTCCTCTGGGCTCGCTTATTGTCTAGAGTTATGTTGCATCTTCTCTGGATGATATTTGAAAGAATGGCTATTGGAAATCTGATTTTATCATCTGTATTTTCTCAACAACAGGGAGGACTTCAACCTCAAGGTGCTGTCGGCTTTTGTGGAGCTGCATGAGTTCGCAGACCTCAATCTGGTCCAAGCACTAAGGTCAGCACAACTCTAAAAACTAAGAAAAGTTGTATGCACCCTGTAGCATCACAAATCAAATTCCCATTCTCTCCTCCATTTGTAGGCAGTTTCTGTGGAGTTTCCGTCTGCCAGGTGAAGCCCAGAAGATCGACCGTATGATGGAGGCGTTTGCGTCGCGGTACTGCCAGTGCAACCCGGGGGTCTTCCAGTCAACAGGTCAGATCTGGAGTCTGTTGAGTAGATCATTGTTCACCAAACCTTTCATGTGAGACGATTCCCCCAAAGGCCCTTTGGATCAGCTCCAGAGACCCCTTCACTAACATCAACTGTCTTTTCAATTGATCTTAAACAGGATGTTGTTAAACACTTTAATTATATACATATGCATATCATATTTATTGGAGGAAGTCAGTCTTGAGGTCGGCTTTTCACTTTTGCATTCGTAATATAACTTTTTTTTTTTTTTTTAACCAACTGTTTATTTTACTATTTGAAGCGTTTATTATATCACCTTTTTGCTAACTTTTTTTTTTTTTTACTTTCTTAAAAAAATAATTTAGCTTACTATTTTTAGGGCTGTACCCGAATATCCGAATATTCGGTCGTTGGCCCACTATTCGGTTTTCAATTTCGTTATTCGGATTCTTTTTTTTTGGCAGCCGCAGTTGAAATCTCCAATATCAACGTAAGAGCTTGTGCCTCTTCGGGGGGTGCTAACACTTAACCATAAACTTTATCGTTTACTTTCTCCGTCTTTATATGTAGATATTACTTTTCTCCTTTTGACCGTCACGTTGTTTCCATAGCAACAACAACTTCCTGTCAACAGCGCTAACTGTCCTTCAAAATAAAAGCATGTCCATACAAAATAGGAAGCCAAGCCAAATTACACTTAAGACATATATTAATACAACTGCAACAAAAGTAACAAACACAATATCCTTTTCAATTTCCAAGAACATAAATTGGGTTATTTACATTAACAAATAACTATAAAACAACAATACTGTAGAATAGCTAAATGAATGCCTTGAATAAACCGAAATACACGTGTTGAAGCGCACCGATTATCCGAATAGTCGCTGCTGATTACTACCGAATGTCCGGAGCCCGAAAAATGGTATTCGGGACAGCCCTACTATTTATTAATCTGAGCTAACTATTTCAACCATTTCATCTATTACTCTCTGTTTAGACTTCTCTGCTTTCTTGCTACCTACTTTTATTAACTCTTAATCCCAACAGTGTTGATGTTACAGCTGCATTTTTGTAGATTTATTCTTTTTAAATCAAATTGCAAGCAGTTTATAACAAGTTGGATTTAGTTAATTTTCTATGTAGTTGTTGGAAACTGCAAAAGTTGCCCCTGCTGGGACACAAAAGAGCAGAGTGTGAAATCCAATATGTTGGACAATGTCAATGCACTGAACATCAGTTTACCCTAATGTGCCAACAGAAGAATTGCCTGAGGGTCCAGGATACATTGAGCATTAGCCTTTTTTTTAAATGCATTTGATTCATTAAGCCATGAGAGTTACTGTAACTAGAGCTCAATGAGGATCAATCAGATTACAGTAACTTCAGATCACAGGTCAGAGTAAACAAGCAGCAACAAACAAGAGACATCCATTATTCATAGCGGCTCAATGTGGCTGAGTGATGCGTGTTCTTGTGATAAACAAAGAGTACAACTACAACAGGCTGTAAATAATTAAAGAAGTTGAGGGTGCATGTCGTCCCGTGGAGGGAAGACAGCCAGATTTGTTAATTCCATGCTCAAAGTAAAAACAAATCAAATGCTTTTAAATCAAATGTAATATTGTACAAAGCTTTTTAGAGATATGTGATGTTCTCCAGAGAATAAACTGTATATATGTGACCCGCTCTATCGAAATCAATCGGAAGTCGCAACGGCTCATTTCAAAATAAACGTGGATTTGCGTAATGTGTGTTTGTGTATATTTTTGCGTTTGTGTGTATTGTGTTTGTTTCCCGGGGAAAACACTCACGAGAAACACCGGCTGTTGTTATGCCTGCTGTGACGTCAAGTTACTCCGTTCTCCGCTTGTAATTATGCCGTTACAAGCTTCAAAGCTGTATTTATCGTCTGAATTTGCCGAAACAAGTTTAATATTCTGAAAGCCAAGACTTTGTTTATTTGAAATCAGATGAAAACAAACTGTAACGGACCCTGCCGTGTTATCTATGATTACTATACGCCCTTACTTCATAATTTCAGCGGAGGGAGGGGAAGCAGCGCTGCAGAACAGCAGAGTGGCGAGTGAGAGCTGTCATCTTCCCTTTACAAGCTTCAAACATGTATTTATCGTGTGATTCTGGAAATAAAAGTTTCATATTCTGAAAGCCAAGACTTTGTTTATTTAAAATCAAACAAAACAACCGAACCCCGAAAAACTAGTTTTTTACGCAAATCCACGTTTATTTTTAAATAAGCCGTTGCGACTTCCGACTGATTTCGATAGAGCAGGGTCATGTTTTATATGTAGAAAAGTAACTATCGTAGAGGAGCAGTAGATGTATACATTAGCCTTAAATAGAAAAACTAGTAAGTACATTAATGTCAAAATATAACTTAGATAAGGTAATCGAGTGAATATGCTCAGTAGTCATGTATGTGTGAAGCCATTTTAAAATAAAATGATCTTTAATCACTGATGGAAAAGAGCAACCCGTCTCTCTCTCGCTTCCTCGTGCTCGTCTAGTTTCTGATTACACTGACATTCCTCTCACAGTTAGCAGCACCTCTTGCCCCGCATTACACACTGCGTGCAAAGCTCTTCTATTTTTTATAAAGAATGTGTGTGTGGAGGCAGACAATAGGCAGCGTGGAGCAAAGTGTGTCAGTGAGAGCAGACGGACAGAGGGGAATGAATGATTCATTTACAGGCAGCCAGTGGCCCGTGTGTGTCTGAACATTAACTCACAGACGAGAGACTCAAGCCCTGCCTGCCCCCGATTCCATCTCACTATACTGTACTTCCCTCTAACACGCACACACACACATAACACACACAAATAAAAAAATAAAATAAACTAGTTTCCAGAGTCTCGCCAACAGACGTTGCTCTGTCTGTATCCGTCTTGTCCCAACCAGCAACTGAGGAAAATTCTTTCAAATAAATATCATAATATGTGTAATAGCGATATAAGAAATGGCTATTTGTGTAAGAAGCTGAAGTGCAATACGCTTGGCCAATCAATTTTTCCCCCCTAAGACCTTTCATGTGCAGTATACACAGTATTTGTAATTTGTTATTATTACATTTGACTATGAAATTATTACATTTCTCCCAAATCGCAACAATTTTAAGGTTGTTCCTCCAAGGCTTATCATTTTAGATCGCAGATGTCTTAAATTGCGAGCTTTAACCGGTGGCCAATACATCTGTGTATCGCTAGTAAAGAAATACATTAATACACAAAATAACACTGTATGCTGATGACATCATGTTATATGTACTTGAACCTGAAAGTGTTACACCTCAGATAAAAAAAAAATGGTGGACTTCCTAATGAAGAAGTAGGGCTGTGCGATTATGGCAAAAATCATAATCACGATTATTTTGGTCAATAATTGATATCACGATTATTAAATACGATTATTCATTGACTTTGAAAACATCCATTTATTGAACTTTAAAACAAATACAAATAATAATTTGAACAGTATCTGTTTAACTGTTGATTACCCTGAACGTATAATTCAACTGAAAAACCAATACAAAAATAAATAAATTATACATTTATATTTACATTTAAATAAATAATATCAAAATAATAAATACCAATAAACAAGATCAACAAATATTTTGGAGCGCACTTCAACAAGTTACTAAACATATATAAATATGATAAATACAAATAAATTAAGACTAAAATAAATTAGATCAAATATGTTGCAGTGCAGTCACAACCAAGCAAAGCAAAATAATCGTTTTTTACGATTATGTTGTTTTCGTAATTGTGGCAGGCCAAAATCGTAATTGCGATTAAAATACGATTAATTGCACAGCCCTATGAAGAAGGTTAATATCCCCCAAAGAAAATATTAAATGTGTCTGAGAAACGTGACTTTTATGTGTTATTGATCAATTTGATTCCCTTTCTGTTGCTCTCAGATACCTGCTACGTACTGTCCTTTGCCATCATCATGCTGAACACCAGCCTCCACAACCCCAACGTCAGAGACAAGCCCCCCGTGGAGCGCTTCATCTCCATGAACAGAGGCATCAACGAGGGGGGGATCTGCCCGAGGAGCTTCTCAGGGTGAGGATTCGTCCGTAATGTGTGTGATGATTGACCTCTGTGATCTCTCTGTCACGCCTACTACAAACGAGCAAGGCACTTCTTACACTGTTTAGCCTTTTGATGAATAACTTCCTTCCCCTGTCTGCAGAACCTTTACGACAGCATCAAAAACGAGCCCTTCAAAATCCCAGAGGATGACGGGAACGATCTCACGCACACGTTCTTCAACCCCGACAGAGAGGGTTGGCTCTTAAAGCTCGGTATGTGCATTTTAAGTCACCTAAATGATGTGTTGATTTGTATCATTTTTCAGCAGTGTCAGCATCAGTTTGATAAGCAGTGTCCTTTGTTTCTCTGGCGATGAGTGTTTGTGTTGTTGTGTGTTTATTGTTTATGTTGGGTTTTCCAGTGCCCATGTTAGAGGTTGACAGTTTAGGCATAAATGGCTGAAAAAAGCTGATTCCTACGATATCTCTTGCCTTTTTTTGTCACTTCAGTAGAATGAGTTTCTGCTCAAGTTAGCTCGTGATTTCTGCTCTTGCCGCTAATTTTTGCCCGAAAAAAAGGAGCTTTCTTACACAACTGCAAAGTGTTTTGTTTCTTTCCTCGTCCTTCATCTTGTGTCCTCTCCTCTTTGCTTTGTCTTCTCTCTCCTCTCCTTCCTCACTCTTCAAGCATGCCTCTTTTTGTTAATTAAACTTCGTATCTTTGGCATTGTGTTACGTGGTTGTTGTGTCTTTCAGAAAAATCCTTTTATGTGTTTTTTTGTTCCCCCCTTTCTCTAACCTTTCACACTTTCGTTCTGTTCTCTCATTATGTTCTGTGATGGATGTTCCTTCTTAAAAATCTGTATTAGGAGGTAGGTAATGCTCCTTCCTCCCTCCTTCGGATTCATCACAGGTTGCCCTCACACTGGCATTGGCTGCCATTATCTCCTTAGCACACAGAACATGCTACCCGCCTCATTTAATTGGCTTATTGAATCAGAGCTGTCATTGGGCAAACGAGGTGATGCATTATCTCATTCAAAGGCAGGGCGAGTTGGAGGTCAGTGATCTCGCTCATTGTGCATGGGGATCGTTTGCATTCCTCTTGTAGCTCTGGAGGAGGCTGGATGACGCAGAGGGCTCGTCTCAGATGGTGCACACACAATATACGCACAATTCAAATGTTTAATCCTTTGCATAAAAGATAACTGTTGACCTCATCAAACCACAGTGCCACTCGCCACTTCCCCTTTATTATCCTGCCCTTTTTCACAAAAACGTAACATGTTTTATAGATAATAAATGAAACGCTACATATCCTTAAGCAAAACATCGGTAATCATGCAATATTGCAACACAGTCTCACGGCATTTCGTGTTATAGTCACGAAATTAATCTATTGATTCGTGTTCACCAACACGATTTCGCCATTTTTTTCGTGTCACACAGAACGATTTTAAAAGCAATGTAAATAATAACAAATTAGAAGGAAAAAGACATTTAAAAAAATACAGATTTAAGTATTCTGACACAGAACGATTTTAGAAGCAATGTATTTATATTGGTAGTATGTTTCGTGCCTGCACCAAATAATAACAAATTAGAAGGAAAAAAAGATGACATAAAATACAGATTTCAGTATTCTGAGGCTCTGAGCCATTTCTTTTCCTCACTGACGGCAAAAAAACTCAGACATTATACAATTTAAAATAAAAGGGATAGGGTTAGGCTTAGGGTAAGATATTGAGTAAGAACATGTTTTTATGAACCACACAGCTTCTGGTCTTCCAAGACCCGACCGGACAAAAAGACGTGGTGCAGGCACGAAACATACTACCAATAGAAATACATTGCATTTAAAATCGTTCTGTGTGACACGAAAAAAAGGTGAAAATCGTGTTGGTGAACACGAATCAATAGATTAAATTAATTTCGTGACTAATAACACGAAATGCCGTGAGACTGGGTTGAATATTGGAACAAATACACATTAAATAAAGTTATTTGTGAGCGGAAATTAAGGTGAACACATCTTTATTTCATTCTAAACTCATGTATTTACTGTAGATGTGGTGCATGCAGTTTCATAAAGCAGTGTACAATAGTACTGTAAAAGACAGGTGCTTTAACTCCCACTTCACTTCCATATTGGCCAAGACCACTAACTTTTAAAGGTTAAAAGGAATAGTGCAATGTGCTCAATCAGCTTTTGTTGAGAATTCACTTAGAAGATTGGTAAACAACACATAACACATGTCTATGCAGTAATAATAAAGTTACTGCTAGCTTAGCTTAATTTAGCAAAATTATTTTCAAAGGGGAAAAAAAACTAGCATTAGTCAATCTTAATATAAATATCCACCTTTCTGCACTTACTAACATGTGCTGCTTCCCCATGTTTCCAGTATGTATGCTACGCTAAGCTAACCGTGCTGTTGGCTGTAATGCTAGCTTCATATTTAGCATACAGTCATGAGAGTGGTATCAAACTTCTCAGCTATCTTTTGGCAAGAAAGTGAAATATTTTACCCAAAATGTTTTACTTTTCTTAATAGCTGTAGAGGTACAACATGTTATATTAGAACCTTTTAAGCATTAGCAAGTGAGCCAAACAACTAAATCAAGTTCTTTGTTTCAAACTTCTGCATGCTTTAGCAGCTTTTTTCAAGAAGCGCTAACATGCATTACTTCGACATAAAAGATGTTTGCTTCCTCCTATATTCAAGCAAACACCCAGCGCTCACTTCATCCTCTGTACCATTAGAGACAGCCCTGCGCGTCACACAGCTTCTGCTTAGCGAGCACACACGCTAAGCTTTAGTGAATGGGCCTCAGTTCACCCACGCTAATGCTGCTTCTCCTCTTTGTCTACAGACCCCTGTCTTTCTCATTTGCTCTCTATCCCACCAGCTGCACTAGCCACATCATTTTAGCTTCAATTTCTCCCCACTAGCAGATCCCACGCTAATGTTTGCTCCATCATAGGAGTCCCTGCTTAATGAGAGGTTTCTTTTTTGTTGTTTGAATGAAGCTGGCCTGCTCTGATGTTTACAATACAACATTTCTGCACTGCTAATATCAGGCTGTGAAGCTCCATAAGCGCTCATTACACTACATTACTAACCAGGACTGAGCCTGCTGCTTTGCCTGAATCCATCATCATCCAGTAGGAACAGCATGTCATAAAATACTGATATCTAGACATATATTTCACAAGGCCTGCTAGCTTAAACAGCACCTCTAGCCAAGTAATCTGGCACAAAATAAAGAGAAAAGCACGTTTTCATGTCCTCCTAATCAAAGTCAAAGCATTTTAAATGGACAAAACAGTCAAAAATACCAATTATTAATATTAAGTTAAGATAAATGACTTGTCAGTGTGCAGTATTTTAGCTGTGTTCGATGCAAAAACTCCAGAAAATACAATTTTGACTAAATTATACTAGTTGGAATCTTTTTTATCCTGTTCATTAATACAAATAATGAAAATTGAGTCAAGACTTTTAGCCCTCTTGCCCTCTTGCACATTTATTTTTCACTCCCTTTTCAGTAGTCTCCTTGAGCAAACAAGCGAGTGATGAATCTGCATTAGGAGCAGGCAAACATGGGAGGTCCTGCAGCAAAAATCCATTATAAATGTCAGGTTTTGAGGATTGAATTAAACATATGGCTAAATGGGATAAACGGCTCTCCAGACATATGCCATATGGTTGACTGTAGCAGAATCAAACTTTAATTGTATATTTACTGAACAAAAGTAGACCATATTTCACTTCCTCAATCCATTTCAGTGAGTAAAATGCAGCGGTATGCATCTCTAGTAAACATTGCTCATTAATAATGTACTATAGATGTTGGATTGTTACTCCAGCTTGCAGTATAGAGCGGAAATCTGGGTCAAGTGAACATTACATATTGATTACATCAGTAACGGCTGCTTTGTGCTCAGTCTGTAAAGTCAGCAAACATGTTATTATTGTGCAGACTGAACATTGACATCAGGCACATTGTGTTTTCTTTGGATTACATAGGTAAATGGCATCACTGATGGTGTAATTACCAGACAATCCAGTAATCCCAATAATCTACTTTTATCTGAGGCAGATGGAGAGGATGTCACTCCTACTCTCAGATAAAAATAAGATGTTTTCACATGTTACAAATCCAAACACCCTCTCTGGAACAATCGTCCTTCTGTCTCGGCTTTTTATAATATTAAAATATCAGACTTTTCTCAAGCCAAGCTCATAAAATCTGTCAGTCTGGTCAAACAAGTTGAATGCACAAGTTGAATGCCAAAGCTTTCACATGTATGTGGCGTGTACATGTCTTGGTTTTTTTCTGTGAGGTAGCAGCGTGTTGAACAGTTTTCCCAGCCCTCAGGCATGCGTCCCTAGAGACGGGGAGGGGGTGCTGCAGGGAGTATCCAGCCTCCTGATTGAGTCTAATAATGCAGAGAGCTGATGATCAGAGCCAGATGTGGCGCGTGGAGCGGAGGTCTGCTGCAGGTTAGCCTCCACATGCACAAACACTGTCGCCCCTTCAGGTTAAACTAAAATAGTGTGTGTTTTTCTTTGCAGGCGGCAGGGTGAAGACGTGGAAGAGACGGTGGTTCATCCTGACCGACAACTGCCTCTATTACTTTGAGTACACAACAGTAAGTAGGCAGAATAATGTGGTTTAATGTGTGTCAGAATGTATGTGTAAGCACAACACCAGTGGTATATGTTACACACTTCTCTACACAGCCAGTAATATTGTATGGTAACTTATTCCTTCCAAATGAAAGTAATACCTATGTGAAAGTAAGTTGCCCAACACTTGATACTATTTTGAAACTCAATCTGGGTTTTTCTGTTTATAACACCAATATTTATTAAATTACTTAAAATAATATAATATAATAAACGTATTTGATTAGAGTACATTTTAAAGGAATAATTCAACATCTTTGCCGAGAGTTATATTACATGCCACTCTACATATGACAAAAGACTGGAAACTGATGGAAAGAACTAGCTGCAAAGACTTGAGAGTGGTATCAAACGTTATGACTAACTCATAGCAAGAAAGCAATAGGCATATTTCCAAAAATGTCCTAAAATGTTCCTTAAGGACGCTAGTAAAATCATTTTTTACATTTTTAAATATTACATCCAATAATCGTGATAAGCAGCTAATGTGTAAATAAATATTGTTGCGACAGTTCAAATGCAACAGGACTTTAAGTAAGATTGACACCAAAAAGAGGACACACATGTAGTCCCTTAAACATTTAAACCCTACACACAACACACACACACACACACACACACACACACACACACACACACACACACACACACACACACACACGCACACACATACACACACACACACACACACACACACACATACACACACACATACACACACACACACATTGGAGTCAGGGGTCTTTGCCTTCCAGCTCCGCTCTTTAACAGACGCAGCCCCTTTGACCTAGATGAACCTCACCCCAGCAATTAACACGAGGCATCATGGGAAACATCTGCAAAGTCTATGGTGCACATCTGGCCCCGCTAAGCCCCGATCCAAGTGCCTCCCCCAACCCGCTGCCTGTCACCCCGATGCTTCAGCCCAGCATCAGAACATACCCCCCAAACACACACACACACACACACACACACACACACACACACACACACACACACACACACACACACACACACACACACACACACACACACACACACACACACACACACACACACATCCAGCTGCCCGGGCTTCCTCCCCCTGGTCCCCCCTCATTAGCAGGAAGATGACAGGCGGGACACTGGGCCGTTCCTCAAGGTCCCCCCCCCCCCCCCTCACATCTGGCCCCGCAGACACACACACTCGCTGGAGGAGATGGAGGATGTGGGGGGGGGGGCAGGGTTATGTCTCCCTCGGGTGCTGTACCCTACGTGACCAGGATGTATAAAAACTTCAAGCGTGCTTTTATCCCCACCTTGATTCTCACTTTGATGCTGTCAGGCTCAATGTAATGTAAATGTTCAAATACTTTTTTTTTAATACACAACATGTACAACCAAAAGCACAACATATTTTTTTTAAATAAAATAACTAAAAGTACATAAGAAAAAGAAAAATTAGACAACAGCAATTACTTACAAAATATACAAAATTCAGAATACATATGTAAGCTAAAAATAATAACAATAATACAGACAACAAATGTTAAAATACTTAAAGGTGGGGTAGGTAATTCACTTCAGAAACACTTTTTGTTATATTCCATGGAATGCTCTTAACATCCCGATAGCAATGAATATATTAAATGCTTTGACAATAAATACATACAAAAATGTCATCTGTGGAAGCTGTGGCGCTGTAAAAAGTACGACCAATCATGTCAGCCTTCCATCTCATGCACAAACTTATCTCGTGCCCTCATTGGTCATGTGCGCGTTCGTGTGTGTTGAAGGAGGGGCTTTATAAGGAAGTCTGAAGGAAGGGGCAGATTTTTTCCGGTTGTGTACTTTCAAATTCTAGCGCACTCGAGCTGGTTTCTCCATTCTTACCTACCCTACCTTTAAGATCAAAACATATTCACAATAATTAAATACAATTTCTAGCTGTTGCAAACCGTTATTTATATGAGTTTCCTTTGAAGAATAAGATCCTCACTAGGGAAGTAGTCATCCTCCACTAACCTCACGTGGAGATAACACTGTAGGAATATTAGTTAAATATAACCATAATTATTAATTTTGTAGTAAAATGTGTCCTAAATGACAATAAAGAAACATATTCTGTTATCTAAAGTTGTATGCATTTGCTTAACAACAATCAAGATTACATTTTATGTTAGGCAGGTATTATGTTTACAGTTTATCATCTTAGTTTAGCTTGTTAGCATGCTCACATCTGAATTGACTGTGTGATGTTGTCTGGGCTTGACTTTCTGTGTCACTGCACCCTCATTAATCACTGGTTGTGTCCTTTACAGTCATGTATGCACTTAATGAGTGATGTATTGATGCTCAACGTAGTCTGTGTTTGTTTGTGTTTCCAGGATAAAGAGCCTCGTGGGATAATTCCTCTGGAGAACCTCAGTATCAGAGAGGTGGACGAGCCCAGGAAACCTGTGAGTAGAAATTCCAGACACTCTTTCTCCATCTCCTTTAAAGCAGAAAGAAATCATTTGGATGTCCATGTGGTATAATTGTTATTACCAACAACCCAGGACATATTGCATTTGTTTTGAAAAAAACAGCGCACAAAGAAAGTCGATAAAGTATTTTTTCTATCTTTTCCTTTTCATGCAAATAAGAAATTGTGCTCGTTCATTTAATGTTAGCGACATGGCTACAGCTAGCAGCCTTTATACTGTATAAAGCAAGAAACAACTGCAAGAATATCAAAGTAGCAGAAACCCTAATCTCAGAGCTATTAAAACACCTCTTGTATTAATAACTAGGTCGATATTGTTACTTACCGATGAAGTAGAAATAAGGTTTTTTTTATCACTTTCCCTCTTCCCCTTCTTCTTCCATGAAGCTCATTTGCTCGATAACGTTTCTACAGTTAACATTATTACATTACATGTCACTTGTTAGACGCTTTTATCCAAAGCGACTTACACACTCAATACTGTGGGCAATCCCCACTGGAGCAATTTGGGGTGAAGTGTCTTGCCCAGGGACACAACGACATGCTGACTGCAGTGGCGTTAGAACCTGTGCCCCCCTGATCCCAACACCAACGCACTAGTCCACTGCGCCACACGCCTCCCTACTATAATTAACGCAGGGGGTGTCATTGTTCTGCAGCCGTTACATAGAGCAGTCAACATATCTTCATAATGATAAGCAACAATAATCTACTGTCACTTTCACACAGAGGTATTTTCTCAGACATGTTTTCTTGTTTTTCACCGTGCATATCTTTTCGTTGCCTCCCCAGAACTGCTTCGAGCTGTACAAGCCGAACCACAAAGGTCAGGTGATCAAGGCCTGCAAGACGGAGGCGGACGGGCGAGTCGTCGAGGGCAACCACGTGGTGTACAGGATATCTGCCCCAACGCCGGAGGAGAAGGAGGAGTGGATCAAATCCATCAAGTAAGAGACGCCGTGTTAGTGGGGGTCCATTTACACTGAGAGGGCACTTAGCCAACACTGAGGCTCCCAGGTGGCACTTTCTCACGTCTGACCTTGACTATGAGACACACACGTGCACACGCACACGCGCACACACACACACACACACACACACACACACACACACACACACACACACACACACACACACACACACACACACACACACACACACACACACACACACACACACACACACACACACACACGCACAGAAGTGTTTCACACCAAGATTTGTCATATCCAAATTCAGCCTTGTAAGCAGGGAAGGAGTGGAGGTGAAGCTGTAAATTGGGTAATTGATCAGCTCGCTGCTTATAATCCACTCAGCTGCAGCTTCACCAGCAAATATGATCAATACTATCACGGCAGAAATCATATTACACGTCGCTTCAGGGCTCTAATGATGTTATAAAACCTCTTAGCGTTAGAAAGAGTATCCAATAAATGAAAGGTGTGTTCTTTTTTAATAAGTGACTACAGATCCTGAGATGCTTCATATACAGTTAAAGGGATTGGAAGGAAAAGAGAGGTGGTCATTTCTCTCTGTTTGAGATTGTTGTTTTGTTTTTATTGAACGAGGGGTATTTCCCATTGTGAATCAGAGTCTCTTTAGGAATTCAGAGCAGAATTAAACAACAGCCTCCCAGTTAAAATGCCAGAAGATACAAAAAAACATCAAAATGACCAACTATGAATGACATAAAACAATGCAATGTTGGCGAGTTGTCATCCTGGCTTGCAAACCACTATTGTTGGTGGAGTGGTGAAGGTGGCTGTCTGTATGTTAGAAAATAAATGAGAAAAGTCCGAGCAATGTTGACGGAAAATATTAAAAAAAGTTATAGTATTGTGATTAGAAAATATTATGAAAAAAGTCATTGTACAGTATGTCAAAAGGTATTTAAAAATTCTTCGTATAAACTGTTGAAAATATCATGAAAAAGTCATAGTATACAAAATGTGTATATTATGCTGAAAAAAGTCAATATATACTATGTTGAAAATATCAAAAATTAGTAATTGTATTGTGTTATAATATCATGAAAAAAGTCGTAGTATATTGTTATATTGTAGGCTGAATAATTCAAGTTGTCTCTGTAGATCCCACCATGACGTTAAAAGCCCCTTCTCCCAACAGTTGGAGGAGTGAAACGATTTGACCCTCTGAACACACACTCTCTGTTTCCCACTCAGCATCAGAACGAGTAGGGTCCTCCGGTCACTGCTGGAACAACAGAGATCACAGATTTGGACTCAAACTCACACACTCTCATTACACCCTCCTGTGGTCTGCAGACACACACACAGAAAGACACACACCTGACTCATCTGCTTCCTGGAAACTGCTCTGTACACACACACACACACACACACACACACACACACACACACACACACACACACAAAAGACTGGCCACCTCAGCATGTTGTGCTGCTGGGAAGGCTGTGGGTTATTCTGCATGTTCCCATCCTGAGTGTGTGTCACGTACAAAGATTTAGGGTATGCAACGTTGATTTTTCCACAGGGAGCCTCGAAGGCTATGGAGCCAGTCTGAGATACTCGCCCTAAACAAAAAGACAGGCCAAGTTAGCAACTAAAGAGTCCGACATTTCTGTCAGGAGAGGGTGGAGACCAACATCGAGCTTCAAGGAGATATAAGAGTGATATCAAGTGGCCAGAAACACGATTTCAAATGTGTTTGTTGCTTCATGTCCTCTAGTAGTTTAAATAGTAGCGTCACAGTTATTTAGTTAGCAACAAAGTGAGGACCTAGCCGGGGAACATAGCTGGACATTAAGCAGCTAAAGAGCCAGAGATATTTTGACTTGGCTGAGACCGAAACAGAGCTACAAGGAGATACCGAAGTGACATCAAATGGCCAGAAACACGATCGCTCTAGCTTTCAAACGAATGCTAACGTTGCTTCCTGTCTGCTAGGAGTTTAAATAGTCAAATATTTGTATTGACAGTAACCGGTCACAGTTATTAGCATTATTGCACTTAGCTATGGACATTTTGATTGACTGCTTACCTCCCTGAGACTGCTGTCAATTGCCTTGTTGACATTTAAGTTGAATAAAATACTCTGATGGTAAAGCTACCTATTTTGACATTGTATAGACCAGTGGTTCCCAAACGGTGTGCTGCGGCACACTGGTGTGCCGTGAGGCAAGTCCGGGTGTGCCGTGGGATTTTGTGACAACCATACGTTATTATTGCAATATACAACTACACAAAAATAATAATTTTTTAATTTACTATATCAGTACTTTGTATGCACTCATTTCATAATACAGAGGCAAACTCTATACCTAAAAACAATTATTTAAAAAAAAATCCTCACAGAACCCCATATTTCGCTGTTAACGCAGTTGCAGGTGGGAATTATAACCGTGAAAATGTGATTTTTTACTTGTCCTTTGGTGTGCCTTGGGCACAAAAAGTTTGGGAACCACTGGTATAGACAACCTCATGTTTAAGAAAAGAGCCAATCTTATTGTATGAATAGGCATACATTTTCTCTTGTGTATTTGTCAACATGCTCAGATAAAAAAAACTTCTGAGTGAGATATTTATAGAATGGGAAGGAGTGTTTGAGTGAAGATCAGGTGCAACGAATCACTGTAGATGTCAGGTTTTGGTGTTGATCTTACAGAATCAAAGCAAAATAGTCTTTCTAAATCCGTCAGAGAGCGGCGGAGACAAAAGACGTGTTTTTGTTAAGAAGCTCCGACTGATAGATACAAGACAGATTAAGGCCAAAGAAATTACTGCCCCTCAGCCTAAAATACTTCACAAATACGTCACGTGTAACAATGCTATTCTTCTCTCTATAGTTACAGATTTGAGTGGTAACAAAAAATCCAGTTTATTCATAATGTTGACATGTCTACCTTTCAAACTACTCTTATTTGGATGTACAGAAGCAGCTGTAAAGTGATGTGTTTCCTTCCTCTCCTTTTCTGCAGAGCGAGCATCAGCAAAGATCCTTTCTACGACATGCTGGCCACCAGGAAGAGGAGGATAGCCAATAAGAAGTGATGACCGTCAAACACACCCGAGTCCTCGTATATGTGTGTGTGTGTGTGTGTGTGTGTTTTATGAAGGCCTCATGTGTGTTCTTTCACGGCTGGAGGACAGCAGCAGGTGCTTGTCTTTGGGACTGAAATGGATCATTGGCGTGCACCTGTGTGTGAAGGACTCTGAACACTGATTAGGGGGACTAAAAACTGGATTAAAACAAATGGACAAAAGGAACAGGACTACAGCCATGACTGGAATCATGGGAAATCTTTGCATAGTGTGCCCTCTGGTGGACGCATGAGGAGGAGTTCATACGTGGCTTTTCCTTATTTGGCGTTGACTCCAAGATACCAGGAAAACATCTTATTATCTTCACCTCACATGTTCTTCTGCTACAGAAAGCCTCAAGCTTATTAAATCAGCTGGTCTGATTGTTAGTGACTGTATCTGTACATGCAAACACAGATTTATTCTATTATAAGCTCATATTTCATTTACAGCAGGGCTGCAACTAATTATGTATTGATTAATCTGATTAATTGTTTGGTCTATAAAAGGCCAGAAAATAGTGGAAAATGTCCATGACAGTTACCAAAGTCCAAGGTGATGGCTTGGTTTGTTCCAAAACCTAAAGATATTCCATTTATTATGATGTAAAACAGAGAAAATCAATGAAATCACGATATTTTATAGGGTAAAAAAAGCATTTTTGGACATTTCTTCATAAATAAATGACTTATTGATCTGTTATTATGGATTATACATAATTGTTGCAGCTCTTATATTTCCAGGCAAAGGAATTGATGCAGGTTGTGAAGTAATACTCGAAATATATAAAGCCCCTTTAAAGTGTTCTCAAACACTAACACACATCCTATATTCTGTCATTTTATGTATTGAAGATCCACCTCTGTGTTCATTTCTTTTGTATTTATTTTCTTAATTTGGTTAACAAAAGAGGCAGCCCACCCCCCCCCACGTCATTTACATTATGCATGTGTAGAATATATTGTACATACCGTTCCTTTGTTTCTTCCTCTGTTGTGTTTATGTAGCATGTAAATCATATCGGCCGCAGCCTGTACCCGTTCACCTGGTTTAGTTTGAACCGCTGACAGTTTACAGAAGTGGAGGAGCAGCGACTCCTCCGCCTCACGCTGAGTTATTACTGAAGATCAGAGAATACATGAAGTTATACGAAGAAAACTCACTGTGCTGAGTTGGAAAAGGGAGTAAAGTGAGTTAAAAACACCCTGAAAGAAGCTAAATACTGGACATTTTAAAACTCAAATTATGTGAAACTGGAATCTGATTTTCCCAAACGGAGATCGAGACGACTTGCCGCCTCATTTTTTTTTTAACAGTACATGTCATTTTAAGGTTAATTGATCTTAGTTTGGGAAAAATGCTCATGAATACTATGAATAAAAACAACATGCTGATCACAAAACTGTTTTGTGTGCATGTGAATTCAGTGGAAAGAGCTTAAAGGTAGGGTTGGTAAGAATGGAGAAACCAGCTTGAGTGCGCAAGAATTTGAAACTACGCAACCGAAAAAAAATCTGGCCCTTCCTTACAGAGCCCCTCCTCCAACACACACGACCTGCACATGACCAATGAGGGCACGAGATAAGTTTGAGCACGAGATGGAAGGCTGACAGGCAGGTAGGCCATCCAGTTATTTTAGCCGGGCCGGCTCAGATGATTGGTCGTGCTTTTTACAGCGCCACGGCTTCCACAGATGACTTTTTTTTAATGTATTTATTGTCAAAGCATTTCATGTATTCATTGCTATCGGGATGTTAAGAGCATTCCAATGGAATATAACAAAAAGTGTTTCTGAAGGGAATTACCTACCCCACCTTTAACTTACCAGGTCTTTGGTTATTTATGAAGTATTTTAGGAATAATATAGTGAGTTTGAGCTGGAAATGTATGTTTTTAACTTGGTGTGATTACAGGAGAGTGCTATCAGCCACACTTAATGTATTTACATATTATAATGAAGGAACTTTGGATACAATCTAATCCTAGTATATAATACAAAGGCAGACTTTTTACCCGGCAACTCGTCAATCAGTTTCCCATTCATTTCAATACAGCTTGTAAACGAGTCAAAAGACCAAGAAGAGATTACAATTTCTGACATTAACAAATGTATTTAAGGATTTTACCTTATACAATGTATAAATTCTGACATGCTAAACGTAAAAGGTAGTAGCAATTTTTCAACTTCTGTCTAAAGTTGGAGAGAAAAAAAAACATAAAACAAAAACATTCCCAATTTTTGTCCAGAGAAAATGGTCGATATTAACAGGAGTTTTTCTAAAAACAAATCAACATCTATAGGTAACCCTGATACAGGATCTTTACATATAAAAATAACTGATAGTACAGTTCAAAATTAAATTTACAGTATTTTTGATGACGCTAGAAGACACAAAACTGTATTTTTCATTAAAAAGCAAACACAAATGGTCCACGGGCATGATTAACAAAGATTAGATAGTTTCCTTTTCAAAAGAATCCAAAAGCAACGTGACAGGAGAGAAGAGGGAGGCGTGACATACCTCCGTGTGTGAAAAAGTTAAAAAATTACAGCGTGAATCTTAGGCTTCAGAGCGAAAACAAATGGAAAACAAGCTGGGAAATGTCCTCAAGTCTGTCCAGGGTTTCATTCACAAGTTCCTCCCTCCTTTCCGCACCCAGTGGGATCAAAGAATAAACTCAAAAGCATTGTGGCTCCGGAGATACGGTGACGTCTAAAACCTGCAGCCGATGCCTTACAGTTCTCCTTTTCCCTTTAGTTTGTGTGAATGTGACGCAGGTGGATATCCACGAGTTTCCATGTCCTGAGTTCCACTGAGCAGCAGCTGAGATGTTCAAGCTCCAGGCTTTGTTTGTGTTCATACAAGTATATATTAATATTTTATCATAAATGTCCATTGAGTGTCTTTTTTAACCATAGTTAGGAGAATTACGGCATATAAATCGATGCCTTTAAAAAAACAAAACATTTTTAAAACACTTTTCTCGCGGTAAAAATACAATATATTCCCAACGAAGAAGCACCACGTCAAAAAAAGATGTCATTCCTTTGCTGTTGTTGAAATGGTGATGAGGCTGAAAGGAGAGAGAAGAGGCCTGTTATAACATCTGATAAATGTTTGTTTTTTTATTAAACAAATGGTACAATCAATAACATCAAATGCAATACAGTACAAATCAAATCTAAAGAAAGAAACAAACCCCCCCCCTAAATGTTAGAACCCAGACCTTACGTGAGAGGGAATGGGGAGGCTTCCAGCGAGTAGCAACCAATTTTTTTGCTGCTGTAAGCCCGGCTAATAATGCTCGCCTTTTGGTCAGGGTTAAACCACAGGTTGGACAGGTCATTTAGGATAAGTGTAACAGGAGAATGAGGCACGTTAGTCTCAAATATCGCCGAAAGGTTAGAGGCAACCATCTCCCAGAATCTGGCCACTGGCGGACATTCCCAGAACATATGTAGATAAGTACCAATAGCCTCTACGTCAAAGAGTGCAATTTGGATCAGCAATTATTTTCATTAAACAAAGCCTCCTAGGCGTAAGGTAAACTCTATGAGTGAAATTATAATGTATGTGCTGGTGGTCAGGATCCCTAGAAGCTATTAGTATATTGGACCTTCATCCCAATCAAACTCTGGATCCAGATCTGGGATATCGGCCCTCTAACGACCAGGGGTCTATAAACGTGTTGTGAAAAATTCTGATAAATGTTATATATTGTTTATAAGCAGTGCCTGTACTGATGATGATGATGATGATGATGATTAAAGCACACTCACAGTCAGTGTTTCCAGCCACTGGAGGATCCGTGGGAGTCGCCGTTCGTGTGGCTGTAACCATTTCCTGCAAAACAACATGGACACTTTAAATCTTCACCTCACACGTTCTGTTTCCCGTCACTACAGAGCGCCTCGAGCTTATCCAATGAGCTGCTCTGATTGCATTTACACATCCAGTCACTACCAAACAGACGAATTCTAGAAAGCCATTTAATGTAAGGCATGATGGTGAATTGGTTAATTGTTGGTCTACAAAATGCCTGTAATTAGTGAAAAAAAAGCCAGTTTCTCAAAAGCTCCAAAACCCAAAGATATTCCATTCATTATGATTTAAAACAGAGGAAATCCTGGAAATAACCATATTTAAAAAAGGCTATAAAAAAAGCACATTTAGACATTTTTTGCATAAAAAATGTACTTTAAACAATTAATAACATTTTCATAAATATCATTTCCGGTCAATGGACTGATGGATTATGCGAGCTCTGATATGTCCTCATTGAAGGACAGGCTCCACAGCAGTGTTTCTCTCATCTTTAAAAAAGGTACATTTTTAGCAATAGAGAGGCAATGGAGCTCCATGGGACCTTATTTCGGAAAAAGTATGCATTGAAGTCAATGGGGAGAGAAAGATTATCTTCTGATCCCGTTTGAATTGTGCCACGAATTACACATATGATGTTTGTCAATTTAAAAGATAATTTTGCAAGTAAAAAAAATCAAAATGTGTCGTAAAACTTTGAAGTAACACTTTTATTTGTGTGAAACCGCTCAATGAACTACATCTCCCGTCTCGCACCACACACCAAGACGGCCGTCACGTTGGCACATTTCACTTCTTTCTTTCAGAATGAAAGTATTAAAGTATTAAAAGAGGTGAAAATCACTCCAAGTCTGGGCATGTTGAGAGCTGTACATACACACAAGGGGAGTTAGTCGGTTCCGTAAGAGCCAGCATGCGGGACCGGGATTCTGGGATTTGTAGTCTTTCTAGTTGCGTATTTTTCATAGTCTTATATTTCAACAGTTTTACGACAAACTGTGACTTGGAAATTATTTTTTAAGATTGACAAACATCATATGTGTAATTCGTGGCACAATTCAAACGGGATCGAGAGATACGTTTTCTCTCTCCATTGACTTCAATACATAATTTTTCCGAAATAATGGTGGTCACCGGAAAGGGAGGGACTTCGCCTCTCTATATATTGAAGGTGTAAAAGCTGAAGTACCTTTGTATCCGTTGAGATGTTGATTTGAAGCGTCTGTTGGGGAGGTGGGGTTTGAGGGGGGGAGCTGCTCGCTGCTGCCGCTGTGATCTGTGCGCCGCCGTTTTTCAGGAGAGTAACCGTTGTGTTGTTTAGCGTCCTTTGTGTCGTAGTATCGTCTCTTGCTGCTCTCCCTCTCCTCGCTGCTCTTGCTCCCGCGGACCCTCGACGGTCCCGGCTGCTCCGACTCGCTGCGCCTCCTCCTCTGCTTCTTCTTCTTCTTTTTGGGGTCAGCGGCTCGGTCTGAATCCGCTTCGGAGCTCCTAGAGAAGAAGGAAAACTCACCAGGGTTACTAGAAATCCAAGACTAGATAGAAAGCTGAATGTGAATAGCTATATATTTAGGAGCTGGTTCAGTTTAACACATTTTAAGTGATTTTAAATGAATTGGAAAGACAGCAAAAGCCAACAGTCCTACAACCACCAGACTCAGGGACAGTTTCATCCCACAGGCAATAAGACTGTTAAACACCTGAACTGTTGAAACAACATCCCTAATATTCATCTGGCTGCTACTTAAAAATTATTTATCTTTATAAAACGGACAGGTGAAATCAAGCAATCTCATTGGTTCTTAGCCGTGATATAATGAGCGTATATCACGGGTAGAATTGTAGTTACTTTTCACAACAAGTCAGTATCCCTCCGCGTCTGAGAAAAGCTACAACCGTTACAACTGTTACATTACGTCCGTTACGAAGCTAACTAACTAACAAAGCTTAAGATGGAAACATGTAAGGGATAATGTGCAGCAAGGACTTATTGACCGTTGTTAAGGACGCTCACATCTGCAGAAAGAAGTCCGGTCGATTTAACTGTATACAGTTTGGCTGAAAACTGTATACAGTTCGCGTCGGGCCGAACCACGCCCCTTAACTGTGACATAATGGCGATATACCACGGCCTGTCGTGAGCTATTGCTTAAATATATCCTATTCCAATAACTTGCATATAGACTCTTATTGCATCAAGGTTCAAGGTTCTTTATTGTCAAACTAACATAGCTACAGAGTAATTATGTGGTTGAAAATCTTATGTCACAGGCTTCTCCAACAATGCAACATAATAATACAGATAGTAAGAGTAATACAAAAAGAAAAATAGTTATAAAATAAAGTGAGTATGTGGAATAGTGCAGTACGAGTCTATATACAAGTTATTGGAATGATATATATTAGATATTAGATATATATTACTGAGTAGCAGATGAATGTTTTGAAATTGTTTCAGCAGTTCAATTGTTTAACAGTCTCACTGTTGGAAGCAACTGTCTCCGAATCTTTTTGTTTTTGCCAGGATGCTGCGGTAACGTCTGCCAGACGGCAACAGAAAGAACAGTTAGATCTTTTTTCTGTTTATCTGTGTTTGCGTGTTGACGCAATGATTACATTCAGGCAGACTGTAGAATACAACCTCTTTGGACAATTTATATACTTATTGAAAACAAGCTACAAAATGTAATACCTTGGAAAATGCCGTTTAATACTTTTTAATAGCCTTCATTTGAACTAAATTGATTTATCAACTTTTAATACTTTTTAAGACCCCGCGGACACCCTGCACTGTTATGTACTCAAAGCAGAAAGCCTTTAGACCAAATACTGAACATATCAGAGGCATTTAGTAAAGTGACAGCCTCTCATTACGTGTGTTACACAATGTAATTAAAACTCACCCGCTCTCTCGGTGTCTCTCTTTATCCTTTGACTTCTTATTCTTGCTCTTTTTGTGTTTTTTCGAGCCCCGAGTCTCAGAGCTGTCCTCCCTCTCCTTGCTCGGAGGATCGGCGTTCCTCTTGTGATCCTCCTTGTTCGGAGGCGACTCATTTGTGTTCGGACGCTCCCGAGGGGGGGAACCCTTTGACTTTTCCGAGGTTTCTGTCTCTGTGTTTGGCGAGGAAGTCTCCCCTCTAGACGTATAATAATCCCTCTCCCTGCCGGTGCTCCTCTCCTTCATCGGCCGGGACTCTCTGCTCTCCGGCTGACGACTCCTATCCTCTCGGTACGAGTGACCGTATCCCCTCCGCTCGTGACCCCAATCATCTCTGGAGTTGCAATTGTTCCGCTCCCGATCCCTGGGTGTGAGGAAAGGCCGGCCCCTGCGACGATCAGGGTCCCTGTAGGACCGGTTGTACGGAACCAAGCGGTCCTTGTACGAGCGGTGTTGGTGGCGATCCCGAGAACGATCCCGAGAACGATCCCGAGAACGATCCCGAGAACGATCCCGAGAACGATCCCGAGAATCTCGTCTGTAGCGATGTCTGTCTCCGTCTCTCTCTCGCACCGGGCTCCTGTCCCTGTAGTGTCTGTCCTTGTCTCTGCTCCAGTCTCTCTCTCTGTCCCGGGACGTTTGTCTTTCCCCTCCTCTAGAACTGGGCTTGGACTGGGGTTGCTCCTTGGCGTCGGTGCGTCCTTCAGTCCCTGCTGACGGATCACGTGTCCTCGGTAGATCCTTTGCCTCCTCTTCACCTCGGCTAATCCCCTGTGGAGCTGCAGACGTCCCGTTGGTGTTTTGGGAGTCATCTGTCGGGGGGGGTAAGGCTGCAGGGATGCTGTGCGGCGGGGCAGGAGAGGAGGAAGAAGCAGGTTCTCTGGACGTGACAGGGTGAGTGTTTGTTGTAGTAGCTGAAGGTGGAGAGGAGGATGGTGTTTGCGGAGGCAGGGGTTCAGACACAGTTGTAGCCCTTATGTCAGGAGGGGGGACGCTCTGGGTTTCACTGGCAGCGGGATGGGGGCTCTGAGAGGAACTGGCCAGGGAGGAGGCAGCAATATGGGCCTCTTGGCTGGAAAAACAAAATAAAGAAGCATTTTAATTGTAACACTTTCTGGTGAAATGTCTGTGAGAAATGTAAAAATTAAATTAAATACCGATGCAGTAGATTTTGAAACCACATCTTTATACTCACTTATCAAATCAGATTTTTTTTAACTTCTTAATATATGGTTGAAAGCAATTACATTTCCCATTTTGAATCAGCTCATTTTAATGTCACATGCAAGTTTGACCAGGGGATCTTTTGTGTATATTTAAGCAATCATGCACCTGAATGAATCTTGTTTATTGGAGTGATATAGCGGTTCAATTCAGGTCCTATGCATCAGTGTTTCCACCAGACCAGAGGGCTGAGAGGGCGTCCACCCCGAGAGCGGGAGGTCTGACGTCGTGTCACGTGATTTTGAATTGAGCCGTCCCTTATAGATACTATTTATTTACGTATTAGTGATGGGAATTCCGGCTCTTTTTAGTGAGCCGGATCATTTGGCTCGGCTCACTAAGAAGAGCCGGCTCCTAAACGGCTCTTCATGTTACCACAGTTTACCACGGAGCCTCAGTTTCGCCGCTGCGAGGCTCAGGCGCTCGCAGTTCACGCGCGTGCTCCACTAGCACCCCCCCGCCAAGGCTCGCTGGCAGTACACTTTCCGTCACAGGAACACGCTTTGCTGGCGGCGAAAATAATCCAACCAGACTCCTTTGCCCCTCCAACAGAGGGATGTCCTTGTCCTTTTTATTTTTCGTCATTTCAAGCGATAAAAAACTCTCGATCTTCTCTCGAATTTTTTCGAATGACGGCAAGACGCCCCCCTGGCGGAAACGCTGCTATGCATCGATTTTGTATGTGATCAAACCATGCAAATGAAATATGTTTTGCATTTGGTTTAAACGCAGCATTTCTTCTCTCGTTTATTCGGCAGGGACATTGCACATTAATGAACACTTAAAACAATAAATATTTCAAGCGTAAATATGCCGGATTTAGCTTTGAACTACTTTCCATCCGCATTCCCTCATTAGCGTAGTACTCTCACCTTGTTTGACTGTGATCGCTGTCGTGTCCATTAGAAACAACCGTAGCCACAGAGGGTGAAGTGTCATGATTAATGCCAGAGAGCTGAAAAACAAGACATCATTCATTCAGTATTTATCGATATAAACTAAAAGCTCATTAGGTTTCATTATATGAAAGGAGACTTACCTTATTAGGGGTGTTGTGTCCATTCACTTTGTGGTGTCCGTTATGGTGGCCATTTTGACTGGATTTAGAGACGCCGTTGGCGGGTCCGTTTAACCCGTTGCCGTTGTGATGCGCTCCCGAGTCTCCGTTTGTGGCTTGAGAGGAATTCTCTCCCGCTCTCTTGTTTCCGTTGAGGTGAGACTTTGCTAATCCGCCGTTATCCAGAGAGCCAGAGTTCTCCTGGTCCGATTCCTCCGAGGACTCCTGGCCGTACGGCACCAAGAACGACGCTCCGTTTCCTCCCGCGTGGTGACCGCCGTTACTGCGAGACGTGCCGTTAACGTGGTTTAGCTGACGCGGAACAAAGCGAACGTCTGAGGTAGACTGCGAGGAGGAGAGAGAGCTGGAGGAGGAAGAGGAGGAGGAGCAGCTGGCAGAGGAAGGCTGGCTGTAAGAGGACGAGGAGGAAGAGGAGGAGGAGGAGGACGGGCGGTTGGGTTTGCCTTGTCCGATGAAGAAAGAAAGCTTCTGCCGCTTGTCCTGGTCTGGGATCATGGTGGGCCGGCTGATAGAGTGGGAGATGGAAGAACAGGAGGAGGAGGAGGAGGAGGAGGAGGAGGAGGAGGAAGCCAGTCCATGGATAGATTTCCCCCCAACACTGCTGCTGGTGCTGGGCTTGGAGTTGGTGTGAAAGTCCCTCAGAGATCCGTTCCCGTTGACGTGAAGAGCGCGCTGAGGACAAACAAGATTTTTTGTTAAACATTGGCTTCATATCTTCTCACATTCGAATATGTTTGATCAACATTGTTTAGATCAGTCGTTTTCACTGTGCCGTAAGAGATCGTCAGGTCAGGTGTGTCGTGGGAAATTGTCCAAATTCACTTGAAATCGGTCCAAAAAAAATACTATTTATTCGCTACATCTAATATCCAACAGCGCCATAGTCCAAACTAAACACTGACTGTTTTGTTAGCCTGCGTTAACAAACTGAGAAACTGGTAACTATTTAAAGGTCACCTATCATGCTATTTTTAGGCAATAGCATAGGTCTCAGATATATAAAAATATATAAAAAAACATGTCTATGAAGTGTTTTGCTCAAAATACCAAACAGATCACCCATTCTAGCCATGCCTCATATCCCTCTATTTCACTTCCTGTTTCAAAAGAACTGATTTTATGTATAAAGCTTTAAAATAAAAATTGATACAAAATAAAAAAATAGGAGGGGTCTGAGCTCATGCGGGACCCGGCAGCTACTGTCTAAACTAAATACTGCCGTGATGAAACGCCATATCATGGATTATCAAGGATTATCTCTGAAACAGTATGGAGCTCAAAGGCTTTCTCTCTTGCCGGTTATACCACAAGGTGAGTTCCTTTTTATTTCCTGCTTCTTCACACACATGCTCTCCAGTACAGGTTAGCTCTGAGTGTTAGCGATGCTAATGTAAACACAGACCATATTACGTCCAAAACAGTAGGGCATTGTTTCTGATAGCAACGTTTCTGATAGGGCCGTGGGTCCACATTTCAGATATTACGTCATATCGGACGCAAATCTGGATCAGCTCCGTTGTAGCCCCGTTTTTAGAGATTTGGGTACGGAGGAAAAGAGAGAGGGTTTTATTTTCTGACGCTGCGTGAGTTCCCCGACACACCGGGGACACATCTTTATGTATAAAAGACATCAAAAAGTGCATTTTGCATGATAGGTCCCCTTTAAAGTAAAACCACAAAGAGAGCTCTCAAAGCTGGTTACTTAGGAGATAAACACGAAGCCAAATGGAGACACTTGTCATTAAATGAGCATTATATATATATATATATATATATATATATAACGTTTATGCGGTATAAGTAACTTTTTTGGTTGTTGGTGCACTGTGGGACTTTTTTTTATGGAATAAATGTGCACAAGAAAGGTTGAAAAGCCCTGGTTTAGATGTACCTTGGTCATGTGTGGCGGCAGCTGGGGACCAATGAAGCCGATGTTGTTGTTGTTGTTGTGGTGAATGCCGGTGTTGATGCGTGGGATCACCACCGGCCGCGGAGACGACTGACCGGGGATGCCTGCGCTGTGGCTCATGTGGCTGAAGTCCCCTGCTTTCTTCACTTCACTGGACCTAGGAACACAAACAAAACGGACATTAGCAATAGGACTCATTTTGTGATTTGTTTGCATGTGTTGTTCTAAAATGACGGTTTACTTACTTCGAGTAGAAAAGGACGTAGGCCTGCTGGTTGAGAACAGAGCGGATGTCGCTGACAGACACAGAGGAGTCGTTCATCTGATACCACTGCCCGTTGCTCGCCTGGGAAACAGAAGAGTTGGCAGATTTTTGACATATTTGCTAAACTGAATCATCATTGTTACACAACCCTCCTCTCAGTTTCTAAATTGCTATTTTAAGCGTCAACATAATAAAGGTTTATTCTACAAAAATCATCCTATGAAGACGAAGATATACTTTTATTGATCCCAGTTTGGTAAATTTGATTTAAAAAAGTGATGAAGCACAATGAAAAAAAACTTCCGAATCAATGTATGTATGTATGTATGTATGTGTGTGTGTGTGTGTGTGTGTGTCTGTATGTCTGTATGCGTGTGTGTGTGTCTGTATGTGTGTATGTGTGTGTGTGTGTGTGTGTGTCTGTATCTATATGTATGCGTGTGTCTGTATGCGTGTGTGTATGTGTCTGTCTGTCTGTCTGTCTGTCTGTGTGTGTGTGTCTGTATGTATGTGTGTATGCGTGTGTGTCTGTATGTGTGTATGTGTCTGTCTGTGTGTGTGTGTCTGTATGTATGTGTGTATGTCTGTCTGTATGTATGTGTGTGTGTGTCTGTGTGTGTATGTGTCTGTCTGTATGTATGTGTGTGTCTGTATGTGTCTGTCTGTCTGTATGTGTGTGTGTATGTCTGTATGCGTGTGTGTGTGTCTGTATGTGTGTGTGTGTATGTATGTGTGTCTGTATCTATATGTATGCGTGTGTGTCTGTATGTGTGTGTGTATGTGTCTGTCTGTCTGTATGTGTGTGTCTGTATGTATGTGTGTATGTGTCTGTGTGTGTGTGTGTGTGTGTGTGTATCTGTATGTATGCGTGTATGCGTGTGTCTGTCTGTCTGTCTGTATGTATGAATGATACATATTTGAACAGCATAGTAACACAGTGTTAATGTACTCTTTCAGCTGGAGAGAAACGTTGTTCTAGGTCAAGACCTGGGTCTGTTAAGAGCAGCAGTTGTTGTAGGAACGCTGCGTCTAACTGTTGTTCAGAGGTGTTAATAGACTGCTGGAGAGACAAATGTGAGCATGTGTACTTGGCAGCTTGGCAGCTGATAGATTAGAACAGTGGTGTGATCAGTGCCAGTACCTTAATATAGCAGAAGTAGTGTCCGGCATGACAGCTGAACCCAGAGTGGACCAGCACAGCGAACAGAGCGTAGAGCTGCGGATCTCCTTGAGACTGAGACATGAAGGGCTGCAGGTCCAGATACTCCGGATATTTCACATCCTGGTGAGGAACATACAGCTGATTAATATCAAACAGGTGCTGTCCTTTAGCTGGGACATGGCTCTGGATGTTAGAGTCACGGTACCTTTGTGAGTTTGCCTCCACTGAAGTTTGCAAAGCGTTTGAGCGACAGGGTGAGCACGTTGGAGCTGCGGTGGATGGTAAATCTCTTTGAGGCTGTGACCATTTTTTTGCACCTGAGCGGAATAAATGTTTAGTTAGTTAGCAGGCGAATGCATAATAGCTACACAAACAAATACAAAGCTGATTGTTTTTGAATGATTGTGTCTGTAAAACAACTCACTTTGTGCATTTGTAGGCGTTTTCTCCGTCCAGCTGTTCTGGCTTTACAAACTGCTCCAGAGCCTTTGAGACACTGGGAGCCGTCTGCATGGAGGGAACATGGATTTCAGTACATTTCTTAAGATCTTTGCAAACATATTAATTTTCTTATGCAATTACAGTTACATAAAAGGACTTTAAAAAAGTTCTGATTACCTTTATTTCCAGAGTAATATCCAAAAACGGGTCAAATGTATCGGATACGGCTTTGCAGTTTAAACATTTAACTGGAAAAGAAAAAGGAGTTTTATATTAGTCTAGAAAAGCTGTAAAATCATAAATAAATAACCTAATGTAAAAGAAACACATCAAGAATAAGAAGTCCAATACTTGTCACATACCTCTGGACCTCAGGTACCCGCCAAACACTTGATGGATGAAAGTGGTTGCCTGCGTTTGCCTGTCCAATCTAAGGATGAAAAAGACAGTTAGAACAAAGACGTAACTGATTGGTTGCCTTATTAATAAAGAAACATGTTTTCTGGCTGTGCTGGAACTGTCCTTTTACAGGATTACACACAGAGTCACAACATATTACAGCTGAAAGACTAGGAGTGAGGAAGGGAGGAATTAGAGCAGGAGTAATTAGTTGAGAGGCCTCCTGTTGCTGCTGAATGAAAATCGCCTCTACACTCATGGTTCTTAAAATCCCTTTTATTCCCCCGAGGACCCCAATGGTCAGCCCAGAGTGTCTATTAAACATGCATGTGTCCTTCATAAGTGTACGTAACCTACTTGGCAAAAGCTTTTTTATACGTTTCTGCAAACATGCATACTTTAATGTATCTGCATTTGGCTTTATGCAAGATTTAGACTGGAAGGTATTTGCAGTAAGTTAAAAAAGTACAGTTAACTTACTGACCCATTTAGCAACTTAAAGGGATATTTAATCAACTGGTATCCTTAACTGCGTAGGGTTATAAGTATAAAACGTACTTGGGTCCAGGTAAGCAGGACTTTTGCATAGCATCCACTGTGTACCGCAAGAACTCGTGCGCATCCTCCTGGCTGCCATAGCGGAAGTGCTTAGCAATCCCTGTGAGACGGGGAAAACACACACACAGTTAAATATGTCAGAAGTTGATAAACGATGCCACACTTACTCGTAGATGTTAGGTTGAACAAATAAGTCAAAAGCCTGTTGCAAACTACCACCAGAGAATTTCCCTCCAAATTTAAAAAAAGGTAAACAGCCACACAGCGCCTCCTGTCATTCATTTCAGGTAGACATTTTGGAAAAAGTTAAATGACAAACACTTACTTTTGAGCTCATTGAGCACACCGATGGGCTTAATGACATTCCCAGAGTTTGCAAAGACCTGAATGATGTGGTTTTGCATGGTGCACATCATACAGAACCCCGGCTCGTGACCTGTGGACGAAACAGAGGGGCAAAACATTGATGAGTTAGACTTGAAACAAACCAGAAAGCAGCGTATAGTCAAGTCAAAAGTCTACTTTATTGTCAATCTTCAAGTTTGTGTGTACAGACAGAGAGATCGAAATACTGTTTCCCACAATCCCGAATATAAAAACAAATGTATATACAAATATGTGTGCAAATTATATACACAGTCAAAGACACATTTTTACATGTGTTTTTCTGACTGTGTGAACGTGAAAATTAATAGAATATCCCCTCCCATCTTCAGAGCAATCTGACTATTATAACATTAGCGTTAAGAAAGCTTACTTAAATATCTGCCACGACATAAGTAACCGGATCAGAGTAACAGTCCGCGGCACTGTGAGTGCAGACGTCGATGTGTCCCATTATCATTCATATCATATCACATCATAATGTATCATATATTTTCTTATTTGAGTCAGCTTCTTGAGCCGTATCTGGCCGTGCAACACTCACAGTGTCACATACTGTATGCAGAAGTATTATTTTAAACAACACATTAAGTTGACGAAACACTCGAGTCAAATGTAATTAAAGTCAGATCCACTCGTGTCTTGGACGGGGCAGTGATTTCATAAACCTGTTAATGTACGCATTCAAACACTTTTTCTTTTACCAGCTGTATTCACCTTGCAGGTGCAGCTATGTGGCTTTTATCCTGGATAAAGTGTTTAAGTCATGGATGTTTAAAGTTTAACTTCTTCATATGTCTAATATTAGAGTTCACTTTTCATTCAGGAAGTATGACGCGCTGCGCTGTCGTACGCTTCTCCATGTTTGTGATTGGTCAAATGTTGCTAACCCCGCCCCTTTCATGTAAATAAAAACACAACAATCAAAAAGTACAAAATAACAGTCACTTCAATATAGAACATGATGTGATAATAAACTACATGACCGTAAAGTTAAGTAGCACAATGAAACACTGACTTACATGTTTTAGAGTGCTCCCGAGTCAGCAAGTAGTTGGCGAACGGCGGGGTGTAGGTGAGACACTGCAGCGCCGAGTTGAGGAAGCAGGTGTTCCCCATGTTCTGCAGACCGGCACCAATACGCTGAACCTGAGTCCACTTTAGGTTGAGCCGCTCTGGAGGGAAGAGGACCTTCTGGGGCGTGTCGATGCCATCTCCACTGCTTATCACTGTAAACACAGAGACAACAATATTAATAATAATAATAGATTTAGGTACTGGATATCAACAAGTATCTGTATATATGCTGAAATAGATGTTAGGGCTGAACAATTCATCTGAATCTTATCAAAATCACAATATGGACAACAGTTATATCCAAATTGGTGGAGGTAATATATTTTTTAGAGACTAAATGTGTCAAAATAATATTCTAAATTAAGTATTGTGTTTCTCAAGAGATTTCCCAGCCTAAAGATCCTCTCAAAAACAAAACACACCACGATTATTTTTATATATCTTCAATGAAAATGTGGCAGAAATGGTCTTTCCCTCCAAAATCACATTTGCAATATCAGTCCAATAATACCTACATTTCCAAATCCTTCAACCCTACTGCATATGTAAATACATATTGGTGTACATACAGCATAAAGTCAATAGCTTTCAGTCAAAAGAGTGATAAAATCTAATCCGGACAACCGAGTAAGACTGGAAAATTATTTAAAAGAATAAGACAAGCAATATTTTTTATTTTTGTTCCTGCTAAACAAGTCAGGCGGCTGCTCTTTATATAAAAAAAAACAGTTGCGTCAGAGGCTCAGGAGATTGATCTTGGCCTCACTTCATAACTGGACCGGTTATGTAACTCTATGGATGCGAGTAGAATGGAAGCAGCAACACAATACACCCACAAAACCAGTTGTGTCACACTATCGCACGACAGCAACCATCGTTTAGCTTCATTTGTGCAGCTTGGTGTTACTTATGCATGTGAACATAGGAATTTCCTTTAATGGCGGGAAAATATAAGCCTCAAATCTGTGTCTGACTGTCCTGCTTGACAACATTGGATGGTAATGTGTGTAGTTTATCACACAGCTGATAAATGGAAAGATACTGTACCTCCATCTCATACTCACTGGATAAGAGATATCCTTTTTTTTCTGAAGATGGAAAGGATAAGGTTTTCTCTGAGTGGCTCCTCAAATACATTTGGGAAAATATAGGGCCCCTTCTTCAAATGTGTTAAGAGGATAAAGTTCCCAATCATTCCTGATTCAACTTTTGCATTTTGGAGGGGTCCCAACACTGGACGGGTTGTCGCGGGGAGGATGTGCTGCCGTACTGACATTTATTGTTTATTATTGACATTTTTGTTTTAGCTGACTGGTTTTCTATTTATTTATTTGTCTGTTTTTGTATGTCTGTTTGTCTTCTGTCTGTGTGGGATTTGGTTTGCCCAGAGGCCTGTACTACGAAGCCGGATTTCCGCGGCACTGTGAGTGCAGACTTCGATGTGTCCCATTATCATTCATATCATATCACATCATATATTTCCTTATCTGAGTCAGCTTCTTGAGCCGTATCTGGCCGTGCAACACTCACAGTGTCACATACTGTATGCAGAAGTATTATTTTAAGCAACACATTAAGTTGACGAAACACTCGAGTCAAATGTAATTAAAGTCAGATCCACTCGTGTCTTGGACGGGGCAGTGATTTCATAAACCTGTTAATGTACGCATTCAAACGCTTTGTCTTTTACCAGCTGTATTCACCTTGCAGGTGCAACTATGTGGCTTTTATTATTATTTTTCTATAGAGTGAAGATTTGTTTATCTAATTTTGATACATGCTCTAATAGAATAACTGTATGCTGTATATATATATATTATTTGTTTAAGACACTTTTTTTTTACGCTGCTATGGACAATCTTGCAATAAAGATATTAATATTGAAGTGACTGTTATTTTGTATATATTGATTGTTGTGTTTTTTATCTTAATGTGTGCATATGTGTCTGTTGATTGTGTATATATAGGATATACATATTTTTATACATATCTGTATAATTGTATTTTTGTATTCGGGATTGTTGGAAATGGTATTTCGATCTCTCTGTCTGTACACACAAACTGAAAGATAATTGACTTTGGACTAATAAACCCAATAAACCAAAAACAAACCCAGCAGATAAAAGCTCTGGCTCCTACCTTGCTCCTTGGGCCGGTCCCCAGAGGAAGCGGTGCTGTTGTAGACGGCGGCTCCCGGCGTGGGGCCCAGGCAGCCTCCTGCAGCCTTCATCCTGGGAGAGTCGCTCGACATGGTGGGACCCATCGCCCAGCTGCTGGAACAGCTGCCATCCATCCCCGCGTCTCCACTGGTAAAGGGAGATCGCTTACACCCCACTGACTCGTGGTCAGAATGTTCTGAAGATCTGTCAACTATGGTCATTGTTCATTGCTGTATGAGGGGCAGAAACAGAAGAACACCGTTTTACGAGGTGCTGAGATGCAGATCATGTTCAAAGTTTTTGTTTTTCAGAACATCTATTGTGTGTGTTGCTATCATGAGTGTGACTAAAGTCTGAATTAATTGACAACATCAGAACTTTTTAACTGTTATAAATGAGTAAAACGCACCAAATGACCATGTCACCCAGAATTAATTTGATTAGAGATAACTTAGATTACAACCACTTAATGCCATATCCAGAATATAATAACGTCTCAGTGATCCTACTTTACGAGAGAACACGCACGGGCAAGCAAATGAATAATTAATGTTTTATTGAGCAAAGTAACCAAACTCAGTGGGAGCTCAAACTATCAGCCCTGAGTTCCGGTTGCATGTACATTTTATTTTATTATGATAAAACAAGACACTACAGTGGCTTACTGTGGGAGTAAAGTCCTGTCTGACAGATTAAACTGATCAAAGTCTCAATAACAAAAGCTTTGAAAACATAATAGCAGGGAGTGTATCGTGAATGATGTTCTCATTCAACCTCTACCTGTATCTAAAAGCTAAATGAACTTGGCTCTCTGTGCTAGAAATCAGAATCAGAAACAGGTTTGTTGCTAAATAGGTTTACACATACGAGGAATTTGCCTTGAAGTATATGGTGCATACAAAAACACAGTTAAAGAAGATAAAAAGTAAGGAAAACAACCAAAGAAATAATAAAAACGATTGTACGTTATGATATATAACTGATTTAAATTAATCTGGATATACCAAAAAACAACATACAGTAAACTATGGCAAAGTACTCTAGTAATAGTAAAATATGTGTAGTATTGTTATGGAAAGTGGAAAGCTGTGTTGATGCTGAGAGCTTGTGTACAAATGTGCAACTCAAGGACACTTCCATTCAAAAGGAAACGCCAGAAAACAGTGGTAATACATTAACTTGTGTTAGGAATATTTTAAACACGACAAACTTCATACAAAGTCACCTAGTAACATTTCTAGTTCAAAAACCCCGACAGAGGAAATGTGCTGGTCGGAAGCACGTTTACAACAACAGCTGTTCCCTCCCACCTGCTCTGGCTCACGTTGGCTAACAGACGGCTGCTAGGCCTTTACACGCAGCGTCTCTAAACCGCATCAAAACTCGCTTTAAACCCCTCTTTTACTCATTGTTAGAGACAGGAAAGCGATTAAAAACTCACCATTCACACCAAAAGCAGGAACAGAATGACTGATTAGCAGCAAGAGGCTATCGAAGCTACGAACACCATGGAAACAGCGATCGTTACACATAGCTAGCAACGGAGCTAGCTACCACTACGTGCGGTAGTATTGATGCTAACCAAGGAAGTGCGACGGCCGTTGAAGCCAATTTTGTGAATGGCTGTAGTGGCCAAACGGTTTTACTACAACTCCCGTGACGTCATTTTGGCTCAAAAAGACTTTTCCCCCATTGACCAAGAAACTTTGCAATTCCTGCAGATTGATTGTCACAATAATTTCCTAACTGGGGATACATTAAGTATCTATCTATTTCTCTATTAATTTCACTGAGCCCAGCGCGGGAGATCGGATGCAGGGCTTAAGGGGAAACCTCAACTGCGCATGCTCAGTGGGCAAAAGGCCCCGGATGATCCTGGTTCTTTCTACAGCTACAGTCGCTTCATTTTGTGCTTCAATGCGCCACTGAGCAACTACCATAGGAATGAACTGAGATCCGCCTCCAACGCTGTTTCCAGTCGTCTTTATACAGCCATGATGCTAACGCTGCTAGCTAGCTCGTCACGGTGGAAGCTGAACAACGGCGGGAAATAACCGCGGGAAATAACGTAAATAAATACTATAAACGCATAATAGCAGTTTTTTGTTTACAACGCGTTGACCGGGGTAACTGGAGGTCTAAGTAGCCTAAAAAGGAGGGGCTCGACACCGGTGGTTGTGGTGCTTCTCTCTCCGACATGACAGAGAACCGGTCTAAGGCTACTACAACTAAACAGAACCACTCGGGTGTACAGAAATAACACAGCTGCAAGGTTAAAGTAGCACTGAATCGTAAAATCAACAAACCACTCACCTGGAATCTGTTATGAATACGTTAGTAGCGGTTGTAAATCCATTCCTTATTTCCAGCGGGTGTCCGGCGGTGAACAATGACGTAGCTAATTGCCCACGGGTACATCCGGGTACCTGAAATGAAACGAGGTCTCCCATTGGTCCATTCGGCCGTTCCTCTGAGAGGGAACGTCTTTTGGGAAGATCCGTCGCATGTACACCATAAAGCATCTTTGTGTACACTCCTATGACCTTTGTGTAGTATAATGTATAATAAATATGCACTTTATATCCATTAAAATGTAAAATAAGTGGTTTTAGAATAACTACATTGCCATAAGCAGCAGAAAGTGACAGCAGAATTTAATTTATCCATGCTGAAATGCACATTTTAAGGAATGTTTATGCAGTACCCAATGTAGGCCACAATATTTATACTTTTAAAAGTTGTCAACATAAAACTGAGCATTCCCTTGGTCCAAAAACTCAACCTTTTAACCACCATAAACCGACATGTACAGGTCACAGAACAAAGACATGTGTCTGAACATTGAAATAAATGTGCCCTGTCACCATGAAAAATAAAAATTGAAAGGTTTAACGTGTCCATAGTACATGTTTTTAATTTGCTGACAATGTGCAGAATCTTCTTCAGGATCAAGAAGCTGCACAAAATCATGACACACATTGTCAATTCTGCGTATAGGTCACTTTTTCAATTTGTTACAAGTGTACCCCTTCCAAAGCAACATCTCCAATGGACAGAAATAACATACTTCTTCCCAGACATCCCACATGATGTAGCAGCAGTAGTTTTTATTGAACAGCTACATTAAAATAAATAATTGCACCTTTAGATTCAGGTGTACAACACACACACACACACACACACACACACACACACACACACACACACACACACACACACACACACACACACACACACACACACACACACACACACACACACACACACACACACACACACACACACACACACACACACACACACACACACACACACACACACACACAAAATGGTACAGCAGTGGGTGAATAAATCCAGTTTTGACAGTTTTTGGAGCCATTACTCTTTAAGCATTAGGACTTGTCCGACTCAGAGGAGTCTGAGCTCTGAAGCCGACTGATCTGTCTCCTCAGCTGCATGATCTCCTCCTCCTGCTCTTCAACCCTTCTCTGCAGACCATGAATCACCTGAAGAGGAAAAAGAAAAGTTTGTGTTTTAGTTATAATTAGGATTATTGCATTTTGTGTTGTAGTTATTATTAGGATTATTGCATTTTGGAAGCACAATAAGTTACCAGAGGGTTCATATGTTTCCAAATATATACATTTATCCCAACATACTATGTCTTTACTGCAGAAGAGTTCACTCTGTAGAAGCTCGCTGGCTGTGGGCCGAACAGCTGGCTCTTTACTCGTCAGCTTCATGATGTTTTTACTCAGATCCGGCCATCTCTGGCAGAAGGAGTCTGGGATTTTCCCCTCTCTCAGGTCCCCGAGGGTCCTGACGCGCTCCATCTCAGTCCCAAAGGGCTGGAAAAGCTCCAGAGCCAGGACTCCGATGCTGTACATGTCTGACTGAGGGAGCAACAGCACAATAACGTTTACATTTACAGCTGTAAAAAAATGACATTAGAATTAAAAATGATGATTAAATGAAGCTCAGCGTAACTTCTTTCAGGAAGACTGGTATACATTCAATCCGCCGCTGCTTATAATCAGCTCATCACAGGCTTTCTGTTAACCTATTACATTCACCTAAATCTCAGCAGCCAATCATCGTGCTGCAGCCAAACTTTAAAATGGTTCTCCTCTCTCCTGCTGTGATTTCAGGCGTTCATGCTGCCGACCACCTCCTTTCATCATATCCAGTGCCAGGAGAGCTAATCCATCACATCCCCTCTTCATCCCATCTCCTCATCAAATCCAGATCTTCAGCATCATCACCAGTGTCTAGACCCCGGGGGGGTTCCTATATGCTCACAGCTGCATTTCCCCCTTTAGATATACGATTTCAGGATCGGGGTCTAATCGCCAAAGACTTAACATTTATCATATGGCATTTGTCATTAAATGTTCTTTAAACAAAATGAAGTCTCTCCTGATTGAAATAAAAGGGGATGAAGTTTGTAAAGTATAGGACATGGTTTCAGCCCACTTTACAAGACATTTCTGGAATGATAAAGGATATCTATTTAGTAGAGAAATGTACCTTTTCTTAAAAGCAATAATCAAGCCGATTTTCTTATTTCTTATTATTTAAGGGTGTAAATAATCAACTAAATTATAATCATTGTTGTTTACATTTTATCAACAAATGTGATGTTTTACATACGGTCTTTATTAAAGAATGTTCGCAAATTGTATTTTTTCTCTTTTGTAGCGGTTGCTTGTTAATTAATCACTTTCTTTGGCCTAAAAATGCGCAATATAGATACATGAGTTATAATGAGTGGCTTTTTATTTGATTGTATGTGTTTCGGTTGCATTATCAAGCGCTTTGCCTTGTGTTGAATGTGCTATATAAATAAACTTGTCCTGCCTTGCTCAAGAAAGTCCTTTGGTAGTAAAACAGATTATTTTTTTAAATACACTTAATTTAAAATAACAGTGGTAAAATATTATAGCACGTAAGTATGTGACATTTTTTTGTATGAATATGTTTACCTTTGAATCATAATGGGAGCCCCTCAGTTGTTCTGGTGCAGCGTACACAAAGGTACCAACACCTGTGGTATGTGAGGAATCTGCAAAAATACATCAGAAAGTGTGACTTTAAAGCATAGAGCGCCATCTAGTGGTGATTGATTGATTGATTGAAAAGTTTATTAACAGCTTGTATATTGGGTACAGTACAGTACAGCTCAAAACATACAATTGTTAAGGGGATGCAGACCAGAGAAAGACTTTCGTCTTGTTTACATCAGGGTCCCCCATTTCCAATTCATCATATCATTTAAGACATATAAGACATATTTGACATACAGATGGCTTATTTACAATTTACATACAGGTGGTTTTTTTACATACAGATGGCTTATTTACAATTTTCATTTTAGATTTCGTTCTAATACATCCTAACCGGACATTTAAGACATACCAAGTCTACAGATATACAGTTAGTAACAGAGTCTAAAATGCGAGTATATACATAGATGGGGGGGGAAGCTGTCCATTGTACGACAGGTTGAGATTTGTACCATTACCGGGGCCAGTTTTGCAATGCTCTCCCCCGAAGGTGCTCTTTAAGAGAGGTTTTGAAGGTAAGTATAGTTTTACTTTCCTTTACCGTTGTGGGAAGAGCGTTCCACCTTGATGTGGCATAATTGCGAAACGTGTATTCCCCCTTTTTTGTGCCAAATCTGGGTTTTACATGATGTGTGGAGCTCCCTCTGGTGTTATGATCATGGTATTCCTTGACCTTTGGAAAGAATTTTGACATGTACATGGGTACCATAGAGGTGTAGTGGATCTTGTAGACCAGGCCCATTGCAAGTAGCTGTGTGATACTGTGAAGTACAGTGTTGTGAAACAAAAAAAACGATTTAATAAAAGGTGAATTATTACCAGTGCTGGGAGAGGTGGAGCTCTTATGGCCGTCCATGAGGATGTCCTTACAGGCCAGGCCAAAGTCCCCAATACGAACATGGCGGTCACGACCATGGAGGAAAATGTTTCTCGGCTGCGGACAAGAGACATTAGAATAAGTTACCTTAGTAAACGGGTACAAAAAACAGTGGTGGAATAAGTACTCAGATGTGTTATTAAAGGTGGGGTAGGTAATTTTGGAGAAACCAGCTCGAGTGCGCTAGAATTTGAAAATACACAGCCGGAAAAAATCTGCCACTTCCTTACAGAGCCCCTCCTCCAACACACGAATGCGCACATGACCAATGAGGGCACGAGATAAGTTTGTGCACAGATGGAAGGCTGACAGGCAGGTAGGCCATCCAGTTATTTTAGCCGGGCCGGCTAAAATGATTGGTCGTGCTTTTTACAGTACTACGGCTTCCACAGTTGACTTTTTTATGGATTTTTTTGTCAAAGCACTTAAAATATTCATTGCTATCGGGATGTTAAGAGCATTCCATGGAATATAACAAAAAGTGTATCTCGAGCCGGTTTCTCAAACTTACCTACCCCACCTTTAAGTAATAGTAGCAATACTACATTTTACAAGTACTTTGTTAAAAGTAAAAGTCCTGCATTCAAAATCTTACTTCAGTAAAAGAACAGAAGTTTCAGCATCAAAATATACTTAAAGTACCAAAAGTGAATCGTATATATATATTGAGTTACTTTAGATTATTCATGTGTTTTCATCACAACTGGTAAATGTAGAGCTAATTGTAATAACTTCATATACTGCTGCTGGATATCTTAACCTACCAATATGTGTCATGTTGATTTAATAATTAATTAAGCTGATAAAATAAACCTAAATAGTAACAAAAGCTGTAAGATAAATGTAGTATAGTAAAAAGTAAAATATTGGCTTCTTAAATGTAGAAGCCAATAGAAGTAACGTTTTTTTACTTACTAAAGTAAAGTAAGTAAAAAATAAAGTAGCATAAACTGAGAATACTCAGTACAAGTACCTCAAAAGTACAGTACCCAAGTAAATGTACTTTGTTACTATGCACCACTGACAAAACTAACTTTATCTGTTTTTGCATGTGAGATCTTTTATACAACATATTACACGCAGAAATAAAAAATGTCAGGGTTTCAGAGGGAGAACTGACTCAGAAACTAGTTACTCTATTAAAATTCGGACAAATTGTACTTAGTTTTCTGCATTTTAAAGACAGACTGAAGAGCTTGTACACCTTTGCATTGCTAAAAGGAACAAGAACAAACTGCAAATGACTCAGAAGGGTGTCACCAGTCCCCACAATTGGCCCCGCACGCATCAAGAAGTTACCAGTAGTGACAGGAAGGCCTCACACCAAACTTATTAACACTCAAACCGACATGATGAAATCGAAACACAGGAAACAGAAGTAGCTTTTACATTTCCTCTACAGAGAGAGCTTAATTAACTGACGAAATAGAAAATGAATGGCTGCACCGACGAACAAGAATAACCAGCCTTTAAAGACAACACACCTCCTGAAGGACTGAACACACACAGACGCTGTGGTGCCTGGT